ACTTGCTGAAAAACCGCTATTCATTTGGCACTTGAGCCAGAAAGCGGCCGCCGTTTGTGTGGTTCGCTATTTTTTGACTCTCGTCCCTCCCAATTTTTTGTGAGATCTTTCTGCATGAGATCTATCTCGATGTGTTTGCATGCCTTCAATACACCTTCGGGCTTTTCGGAAGAATAAACTCCGACGATGCTAGTTTTGTCCCATTCAAATGTGTGCCAAAATTCAAGGGTGCAAATGACCGTTTGAGACAGGTTGCTTCTCCTTTTAACTCTCAGTTGGTGTTTGTGATTGGATGTACGAACAAATTTTCCCGTTTATCCAAGATGTGCGGCATCTGGGGTATTTAATGGGATCTTAAAGACGACTTGCCTGTTATCGAGATAGCAGACACTCCCCTTAGGGTTCACATGCTCAGTTCGCAAGGTAGTCGTCTGCCTCTGCGCCAAATTTATTTGGTGAATGCTCAAGAGGTGTCCAACTAGTTCAGACACATTCCTGATGTAAGGATGGCGACTCCTCCCATTCTAACTAGGGCTCGGCATATTTGTGTCGCTAGGATGTTTCCTGGTAGATACTTCAGTTTTAAAATGTGAGCTTGTTATATTCATATAAATCTATCGTAAGCCTTAAATAATGCAATCTAAATTCAGCTTCACGGGCTCAACATATGGGTTATAATAGATATTTGGGCTGAAGTTTACCAGCTTCCTTAATATTTATACATCGGAAAAAGACAACCAAAGCTATGCACGTGCTTTGCGATTTACCACGATGACGAGGCGAGTAGTGTTTCGTCCGTACAGCCTTCTCATGGATTAGTCGGAGTGATTTAAAATGCGCACATAAATACTGTGATGATGGGTGGGTTAGCCAATGCGCTTATGGGATCATTAATGGCGCAAAAACTGTCCACATATAAGAGGTGTATTGTCGCTTAAATTGTTAACCGAAATTCTGAAACATGTTTTGAATTTGGAAAGATTACTTATTTAAAGTTGCGATAACATCAATAAATTTGCGGTATTCTCCTAATACGTTTCATTCGCAGAGGGTTACTTGCTTTCTACACCTCTGCAAAAACCACTGTTAATAAACTTGAATACATAACTCCTATAGTATTTTCCCACTTGTTTTTGGCGCCCTTATAAATTCTAAAAAAATAATAGAAAGCATGCATACAATATTGTTTCTATTACACTCCGCCTGTTTGTCAAATTCGCTGCTTAAAGGACAAGTATTTTTTTGACTCTTAGAAAATTTTTCGGCTTCCAAATAATTTCTTGCCTAACACGCCCTTACATTGGCTCTGAGGATTTGCCAATTACATTGTGTTATGTAATTATCACATATTAACCTGTGCCTTTTGAAAGATGCCATATAGCACTCGTATTACTGCGCAATGGATGTGGTGTATGCTAACTACCGCATAAGCGACGTCGGTAAACCTGCCGGTACGACGCTTTACAACTCGAACTCTCATAGTCTCAAAAACTGTAAATTATCAATGTATATCTGCAAAGTGTTCATAGTTATAATTGCTATGTTTTAATACCTAAAGACACTCTTCGTCAGGTAAAATAGTTGCGGAAAACGCAATTAGCTGCCAAGCATTTTCAAGGACGAACAATTTCACGTGCCAGAAATTTAGTAAAAAAATGACATGTTGCCTTTGCAGTCATATTTTACAGGGTGCAATCTCTGAAGACGACCGAAATGGCATTTATTCAAGGCCGGAATCTTGACGCGGCTGAACAATTTTAGAGTGATGCTGCGTAAACGTTAATATTCGAGCCCTACTGCAAACCTTAACAAATCGAAAACATATTTCAGAATATCACTTAAAATCTCATGAGACTGCGCCTCTACTGCATATGCGTATTTGTAGCCGGTCTGTGTACAGAGTGCGGTCAGTCATTCTATCTATAGACAAAACGCTGGAGAAATTAGTGATTAGTTGAGTTAACGTGCATTTGATCCGACTCTTCATATCACACCCCCGCTATCGCACATAAATAACGCCAGATCCAGAAGGAAAATGATGAGAGTTTTGTTATTTTCAAACCTGTTTGATAGCCATCAGAGAGAAAGTCAATTGAGCAAGCGTAGGCGAAAAACCAATAGAAAAGTCCTAAAATGTCTCACTGTATATTCCTGATGTGTTGAAGTCTGCACAAACCTGGCCAGAGCAACGGCATTTAAGCTATCACATATGTTGAGCGTGAAGATTTGCCACCAGCTCGACACTTGTTCCAAATGCAAATTCCACCAATGATTCCAGAGCAGAGCATGTCCACTTGAATGCCCATTTAAGCTGAAAGCCGTGCGGAATCGGGTATCGGAAACCGCTCCTCCGGATCTCTGATCCCTGCAAGCCCGTTGTCAGAAACAAATATTCCAGAGATGGCATTCCAATCGCAGTTGTTTCGCCTGGTGCGACATTTACGTTAAACATTGACTTGATACTGCCAGGACATAATACGTTCTGTTGAGGACGCGTGAACAATAGATAGCGGTAAAGCGAAAGGACCGTACGCCTTTAATGACCCCTCACTCGTCTTCACAAGGCAGGCGCTAACTGCCGAACTCATACACCCTCTGTCTAGCTGGAGTTTGAAGTCGATGTAGACTGTCAGAAGCACGATAGAGGAATGAATTCGTATTCAACAATCACATTCCTTTCCACTTGCGGCCATTGTCTGGGGAAATAACTTCAAGGCTTCAACGTGCTTTGGTTTCTGTTTAGCCAAGTGAGTCTTTTTCAATTACCTCTGAACATGCGGCACAAAGTTTAGATATATCTTTAAAAAAAATTCGTTTAGCTCATACAAATGTTATAAAATTTTGGTATTTGCGTGTCATTAACTGCCTGTTGGTGGCCATCAACTCTCTATCAGGCGATGGGTTTTAGCTCGAATGTTCAGACCAGCTTTGGAAGCGGGCTCGGAAAGCTTATTTTTCAACGTGCTCCTGGTTCGCGCCTTTTTGTCCAACAGGTTTAAACAATGCAACATTTAAACTGGAGGTCGAATAAAACGAAAACACATGGAGGACGCAGGGCAGCGAAGTAGAAATGGATAAACATACCTCCGCATTCTTTGTTCATGCGGCGGAACGAGATCTTAAAAAAACGATTGTCTGTGCCTTTAGCTAGTAGCTTTCCTTCCAGCTTGAATGGATGCTTGCGCAATAAAAGCAGTGAAATACTGTATCACTTAATTAATAACATTTTCCGAGACTGCACAGTGACACAAAGAAAAATCAGAACAAGTAAAATTGGGAAAAGTAAAAAAGTGCTTTTAGTCGTACTTCATCAATGCCAACTTGAAACACCCTTTGAATTACCGTAAACATCGTTAGAACGGGTAATGATTTTAAATGCCAAAAAATAACCAACCTTTGCGCTACCTGGAAAAATTAAGAAAAATGTCCTTTTGCTTTTAGTGGGAAAATATCCCCGACTGACGCTGTTCATCCCTGAGATACAGGGTACTACGGAAATCTTCATTGTGGCTGATCAGCCAAACAAAAAGTATACAAAGTACTGGCTAAGGGTTGAACATATTTCTGCCGCATTGTCGGCCAATCGTACGTCGTGCGAAGTGTGCAATACTGATATATTCGTGTGTTTATATATTACTTCGGCTAACCGTCTCATTTCAGACCTTATGTTCCTTTCCATGTTAGGCCGCAAAATGTAGGAATGTTATTGCCTCAGAATTGACAGCAGTTAGTTCAAAAAGCAGTAAATATAAAGTAACCGCAGAACGGAGATATATTTGCCGTTTTAAACAAGTGACACTTTTTTACTGACCTCGGCCACTTTCTGTTCAAAGTTATTTACCTCGCTTTCAAACAGAACATTTGAAATTATCTGATACAATACTTTCCTCTTAAAGGAACCTTTGGCTATGACAGTGTCAGTCTGTCAAAGAAGTCCGAAAATGAGACGGAGATGGAACTGGTCTGGCAGTTGCCATTCGCGGTAGATGTTTCAGGAGTAAGTAAAAATCGCAAAATTTTCCCTCCGCTTTTCCTCACGGTGTACCGGAGTTCTCATTATATACTACTGCTACAGACTCGAATAGGACAGTTTGACCATCGGTTTCGATGCTGTCCATTGTGTGCCCCATAGCTGCAGCAGCAATGGGAGCAGGAACGGAGACTTACGCAGGGGTTTATAGTCCCGGTAGACTTGCGTAATATCTACCTACACTCTCTCCTCCTCCCTCGCCCGAGCCCGGTGTCAAGACAGAGTCAAGAAGACCGGAGACGAGGGAGGCCGCAGGTGGATGGCTCGGACGGATCCTCACCTTGGCGTTCCACCACACTCCCTGGTCCACACAACAAATGACCAGGATTTCAACCAACAGAAGAGAGATTTGGAGGCTGGCACGGCCGAAGCCGCACCTGGGCGTGCCGCCAACGCCTGGCTCGGATCCCACACTGTAATGGGAGTGCATAAAGGCCACATTAAAAGGAGCCATTGCAGCCTGACTCTCAGACCGCCTCCGGTCAGGGAGGACTTCCAATTTACCCCGTCAGTTGGCAACCTTCCAAGCCACGGCTTTTAGCGCACCGTGATAGTTTCAGGCGCGTCAGATTGTTTATAGTGAGGAGAAAGTGCGCTGAGTCATCGACCTCACTCTCCCTTCCCACTCCCACACCCCAGCCGCTGTCCGAGCCGGTCAGCAGACTGGAGTGGGGAATGGGCGCGGTGGCTGGCATGATCGACTGACCATGACTGCGCGCGCCAC